TGCTGCTCCGGAGTGACACGGCATGTGTGAGATATATAGGTACCAGTTGGCGTGCGTGTCATTACAAGCATCATGGTAGTAGTGTATAGACATTCCACTTCCAAAGACCTATGGTCCGCCGGCAGAGGTGTGCCTATCACATCGATAGTCTGTGTATATGCATGGTGTAACTGTGTACGTAGTGTAGACTAGTGTAGTATCCGTAGTTTCCTCAACCCGACTTGACGGCTAAACCGAATGCGTAAGACTATTAGTTGGGAAAGTGTGACAGCAGCAAAGCCGGGGGTTGATGTTAAACCCGGATAACAATGGCCCGAGACTAGAGAGCGGCGAGCCCATGTCGAACCCGATGGACATCGGAGACATGATGTCATAGGTGCTGTTGAAACAAGAAAAAAACCAAGAAAAAAAAAAAACCCAAGAAAAAAAATTTAGTTTGTGAACTCCGAAGCTAGATATCAATTGATCAAGGGTGCCCGTGTACTGTGTACTACCTATAGCATCTTTCATCGAGGACTGTCGAGTGGCTCTAGCCCGACAGAAATGTCAATAACATAGATCGACAACGAAAGTCTTCATGTGATCATGTCCCGAGCACTCAGTCGTACTGTACAGGGTCGAATCATTGTGCCTTCTCTTGTCGGCGAGGAGTCCTAGTGAAAGGATTCTCAATGAACTTGAGAAGCCGAGGAAAGCAAGACCAATGGGGCAGCGGAACTGTCAGTCGAGCGAGTCCCGCCTGTCGTTCAGTTCTTTTCTGAAGAATGTTAGGACATGCTCTGTCCCCTACTCCCCGGGACCGAGATCGAAGCCGGAGTCCAGAATGAGATCCCGGTGCCAGGGGCGAGGGATCCCGACGCCAACCAGGCTCGGCAGGGGATGGGGTTAAAGTAAGCGGACCTGATGTGGGATAGCAACCACAGTGGTTTCCTGGCAAAAGGAAAGCTGCTACGCTAACACAAGAGATGTTTCACCTGAAAGGCGATTTATTGAGATGATAATGGACGCTGAATGGAGGCAAGAGGCGTGACAGCTGAGGTGAGCCTGAAGGTGAGAACCGAGAAGGCGGCCGGGTGCAATCCGCTAAACCCCATTGTCTGGAGGGTGCAGGTTGCGGGGAGATCGGCAGCCCTTCCCGCGACCAGACGGGCAGTTGACAGGCTTTAGCAGCCCGACGTGAAGCTGCTAAGCTGGACCACAATTGACCAATCAGGAAGCACCGTAACGCAGCTTTGTTCAGCCCGCCAACCGCAACCGACCGTCAACGTCGTCTTCTCGAGTCTTCCCGTCGACGACTTCCCGCTTTCTTCCAATCCTTTCCCCTTTCGAACTGAAGCGACATCATCATCCGAACCACGACGCTCGGCGACTTCTCATACACGTGCGTGCTTACTCGGCTGGTTTTCAATGGCTTTTCACATCTGACAGGATGATACACGACCATCTGAATCGCTCCAGGGGATCGACACCACCATTTCGGCTCTCGAGTCGGTTCCTGGATTGCACAGTTCAAAAGCGTCTCAGTTTACACGGATACGTTACGCAAGTCTCGCAATCTTGGACCGGTCCCAGTGGTTGCAGCATACTACCGAGCTCAATTGATCCCTTCGATTAGGTATCCAGCCGGCCCCAGGACCCTCAAAATATCCAGCACGGTCAACCGACCCTGATTCGGTTACTCTTCCCGGATCCGAAGCAGCAACCTTAGCGCGTCCATTCTTGAGCCTATGAGATCTCTTCGAATGCTAAAAGCTTCAACGCTCGCCAATCCGCGGCAGATCCGGGTCCTCCTGTTGGCCTCCGTCCAAGACGAATGCGCTAACGAAGGTCTCAGGCTCAGCCCATCAAGACAAAAAGCTAGACGTGCGTGTCGTACGACCTTTGAACACATCATTCCTCCCGCTTGTTCTCTATTTCTTCCAGAACATTGCCTTCGCAACCTCCGAGCCATCAGCGTCTTCCACCCAGCCAGTCGTGTCATTGCCAAATCTCCAGCACTGTGTCATTGACCGACGGCATTGTTGTCTTGTATCGATCTGGTGTTGGCCACGGGGGTTCCATCTTGCACTATTCGATCTAAGGTGGCGCGGCAACAATGAACCCCTTTTTGTGTTCCAGGGAAATGGTTAATCCTGTACACATGGCCGAAAACTCGCTTTAGTTATGTCGGATCCTCGTAAGAGCTAATGCTGCGCCATTGTCCTGGACCATTCAAACGCTAACTCGAATTCAGACATTCTACCAAGTTCCTGCCACTCTTTGTGTCCATTGTCCACTCTTCCAGGTTTTCCTGGTGACATTCTGGCAGTGAACAACCGAGGATGCGAACTCCAATAATATGACCATGTACAATCCGGCCACGCATTCCCAATACTGGAGGTCGATGAATGGCGCAATGTCTTGACCAACCGAGGCAGCTTGTTTTGGTGGTCTCCGCCAATCATGGAGTTTACTACGGCCCCGACGCCGCCAGCCACCATACCATCTGTTACGCCTCGTTGAGTCGCCTTTGTGACGGGTCACGCCTACCATTTGTTGGTAACTCAAGGTAGTCTACCGCTTTACCGTTTGGGATTGGCAGTCTTGATGTAAGGTCAAGGATGTCATGCCTATACTGTCAACTTTCTGTCCGCCAAGCATACACTACTGTCGAAGAGGATGCCGTGATGGGTTGGCCAGCCCACTCACTCAGAGCTTGGTGTGCCGACGGCATCTTATCAAGAAGCAGGGTGAAGTCCTCATTTCTTCCTTATCTTATCTTGGTAGGTATCAAGCAGGAGAAATACAAGCGAGTCTTCTGGCCAGTATACTGGGTCGCCGATTCTTCCTTGTCTCGAGTTTGCGTCGTGAACTTCCTTCAACCAGGCTCGCCAGAGAACCAGAGAGCCTCACAAAGACCCAGCTCAACCCTCTAGCGTCATGAACGTTCAATTTGAATTCCACCATGCCGATACGGAGGTGTGTTCCCACACTCTCCCCTCAAACTTCAATCGTATCTAATCGTCAAGCAGATGGCGTATCTCCCTCTTTTCCTTGACACCGAACAATCCGACGCGCTGCGCTTCAAACAGCTGCTCTCCATACTCCATGATTCTGCCCTTGGCATCAAACAGTACTCAGGTTGTGGACAAACTTCAAACATACAGACATTCAAGGATGCCATTGAACAGACCGGAAATGCCATCGCGTCTCTTTTGGCGACCAATCAACAACAGTACGAGGAAATAGAACGTTTACAAATGACCACCAAGGGAGCAGAAGCGGCAGAGTTAAAGAAGAAACTCGCACAACTCAACGAAGAGTTGACAACGTGGCGAAGGGCGGGCACTCTCAGATGTAGAAGTGAGCCGTGTCAGGAGGTTTTCATGACAGTAAGTCCATCAAGTTATTAGGATGGCTGGACCATGTTGAGTGCTGATGATAGTAGTACCAAGCTCTAAAGAATCACGAAAAGGGGGCCCATAACATAGGAGCGGAGAGATTCTCGTGCCCCTATTGTAGCAAGACGTAAGTCTCGCAAAGACTCTGGTCGATGCTTCGTATCTAACAACTGCCAACCGCAGATACGTGAAAAAGCCATCGTTTGACGAGCACTTAAGACGCTGTAGGACGACAGCCACGAACCGAGTCCATCTCAATGCAGCACCGGCGGGAACAGTCTACACAGCGCCTTCAACCACGGCATCACGGATGAATTCATCCGACGATTTATCAATTTATCACTCGCTGACGGCCGCGTCGCTATCTCCTGATCCTCACAGCATGACTCCTTCACAGCTGGAATTTCAATTCCAACCCAACGGGCCCATCAGAACATTCTCGTCTTCTCAAATCGGGCCTGAACTGGACAATACAGACGCCTTCGCCCAGGTAATAAGCATGAACTCGGCCGAGAGCTATTCCCCAGGGGAATCCACGCACCCATCACACTACATCTTGTCGCCTATTGGCGAGCAACCGACTTCCTCCGTTCCGATGTTTACAGATATTGCCTGGCGCCCTGATGAATCATTGGACCAGCAATATCAACAGTCATTCGCGCCTGTGACGGCCCAGATCTCGACCGAAGCGCCGCAAAGAGTGTCGCATTTTCTCCGACCTGGCCAGATAACGCTTTCGAGAAGGCAAAGCGCCCCGGCCTGTTCTCTACCCCTGATGCCAGGAGAGAACACGCCTTTTCGTCTTGACGGGCCACCTCCTCTTCTGCCATCACACTTATCAGAAGCTGTGACGTCGCCGCCGCCTGCTAGCCCTAACTACGCCGGTCAACCGCAGCTGAGTCTGATGGAGGAGCCGCAGATGACGTTCCAGCGTGTCGGCGACAAACGGAAGGGGGTGATGCAAATCGCCGAGAGTAATATTGTACGGCATAACACCTGCTTCACTAGCGGTCCGGAAACCCGAAGCCGTGGCGGTGTGGGAGGATGGTCGAGTATAAATCATGCCAACACCGGGTACGGCATGTGAGGCGACGTATTAACGCTTATCGCATGGTTGCCTTTTAGAGACACGGAAGTATGGGGACCTTAGGACACCTGCTGAGGAATCGAAAGTCATCTTGGTCGGTCACCATTATCCTTCCATTTATCTCAAGATGTCATTTCCTTACCAGTCCCGACTCTTCCATGTTATTTATCCATCTCTCGACCTCTCCTTCATTCCTATCCGATGTTCATCTACCAAAAAATACCGCCATTTTATCAAGATTCATGGACCAGTTAGATAAGCTTCAAAGAAACCGCAGGCATGCACCCAGAAGGTTTATTCAACTTCAACAAGATTTTCCCACCATATCCTACATACTTGCATGAAACGCAAACCCAATAACGTTAAATCCCACCAAAACGTTCAATCCCAAAACGGTGGCCTTACAAAGTAAGCAAAACAAAAAGAGCCACACAGAATCACATAAAGAAAGAAAGGGAGAAAAAAAGGAAAAGAGGAATAATAACCTATCGCAAGGGAGAGAGACAGCAGACATGTAAAAAGTGCAAAAAAGATGGGATTGCCAGGAATCGAACCTGGGTCCTCTCGGATTCGTTGTATGTCGAACGACCACAACGAGAAGTACTGACCACTATACTACAATCCCTGTTCATATTATAAGACGGCGGACGGGCTAAAACTTATGTGGGTAACTAATTTGTTGATGCTTTGCAACCTACCACGGTATCTGTTTCTGCGCGATAAGCGATTGGGACAAGGTTGGAGATATCTAAGCGGCAGGAAAATGAACTAAACTTGATGGTCTGCCATCTCATGAACAATTATACGGCCTCAGAACCTGGGACGAAATGGATGACCTTGCGATGAAACAGGTGCTTGAAGTGATGGAAGGATTTTCAACCTGCAGGGAGAGAAAGCAAGGAGTCAAGGGTTCGGATGAAAGACACTAGAGGTAGAATACAGCATAACACGATCACTACAAGTAATACAAACTTGATGTCATCATGTTCATGTCTTGGTATGTATGTATATCTAAGCGTCAACCATGCATGCCAGCTACAAATCATAAAAAACTATATGTATTCTAAAACGCCTAAACGGTCTTTCGTGGATGCAGCGCCGTCGCTCATCTGTCCCGAGCGTTGTGCCTGCGTTGTCGCGGTTCGCGTGCGCGTGCGTTGCGTTGCGCTGCACGTTGCTCATTCCATCTCATCTCATGAAAACTCCAAGCCAAATCTTTTTCGTCCCCTTCAGTTCATCCCATCATGCAAAAAAAGGCACCTTGTCATACAACCCATCATAAAGCTTTCCCACCCACCCAAGCGTCTCCCCTCCCCTCGCGACAACCCCCAGTCCACCAGCCGCCCAAACCGCCGTCGCCGCCGCCGCCACCGCATTGATCAAAATCAACCTCCTCCTCCTCTTCCGCCTCGCCTTCCTATCCACTTCGGGAACACCCGTGTGCCTTTCCAACTTCCACCCAGCACCCTGCGATACACCAAACCACTTCGCCCATCCCCAAATCATATGTCCGCATCCGATTCCCAGCAGCGCCGCGTACGCAGCCCACGATGTCCAGGGGTGTCGCACAAACCCGTGCGCGACGTACGCCAGACCAATGTTCGCAGAATCTCCTTCGACAGCAAGCGGCAACCCGCGGTTCATGAACGCGTGCGCGGCCACTACCGCCGTGAATCCGTAACCCGATAGCGCAATCCAGCTGAGGCTCGGCCACCCGGAACGCAGGAAGCGCGCGGTGGGCTTGGCAATCAGACCGTGTGTCTTTTCATCGGAGCCGACGCCATAGTAGCGGCGGAGGTTCTCGCGGCGGCGGAGTAAGCGCGCCAACAGACCGGCGCCGACGTGTGCGACGATGGGGAGGGCAACGAGTAACGGTTCGGATAAAGGGGTTTGGTAGATCTCGCGGGCGAGGAGGAGGTAAGATTCGGAGGCGGGGACGGAGCGCGCCAGCAGAGGGATGACGGAGGTTGTGGCGAGGTGGAGGGAGGCGAAGAGGGAGAAGGTGTAGGAGGAGTAGCGTTGAATGCGGGTTACTAGAGGAAGGGGATACGTTAGTTGGAGAGTTTGGACTTTGAGCGGAGGAGAGGGGGGCTGAACTCACGGTAGTATATCGCGCCATGACCGCTACCGCTTAAGCCGAGTGGTGTCGTTGTGTTGTGTAGACCGATGCCGCCAGCCGTCCCTCCTGATCCTGATGACTTGAGAGAGTGTATCGAGTCTGCTAGGGAGCCGCCCTCGCCGGCGTCGTCCGAGGGTGAGGCATCTCTTGTTGGGTCAAAATCGGGACCGTTTTCTTGGTAAGGGTCTAGTATCGGCTCTGGGTCGAGTTGTACGAGCGAAATGAAGGTCTCTTGCGACGCTTTATGACTTAGTCGGTGGTCCCGAGGGTCCAGGTCGTGAGGATCCATGGTGGATGGACTGGTTGTGGTGTAAAAGCGTCAGGTTGCGCCAGTCTCTCGCAACCGTTACTTGTTTCGTTCGTCCTTTGTGTTTGGTTTTTCCTCCGATTCGTCTCTTCGAGCTGATGGTGTTGTGGTACGAATTGGGACTTCAGGAGACCCGGGCACAAGCAGCCCCAGGGCATGGAAAGTCACAGATGGGTTGGTGGAGGTTTCGGGTTCTTTTAGGTACGTACTGGCGCATTTGTTGAGTGACGAGGGTGGGTCCTCACTGGCCAGCCGTTGGGGTCCTCGTGAACTCGCTGAGGTGGCCAAGCACAGTGTCCGCTAAGCCTAGCCTGGTGGGGATTGGCGATGTAGTGGGGTCTATGGGGACAACTTCCCCACGTTTCCTTGCTGTCCGTCAAAGTTGCATTGAACGAACTGTGATTCGTGCCGCCGGCATTTGGTATCTTTAGGTGTGACCTCACACGCAAACGCGACTTCATTTCGAGCTTCGACTTTACACATTGTTCACATTCTCTTGCAACGATACCCAACTGCAACGCCCAACGACATCGAAACCCCGAAATCTATATCTTGAGAGCCGTATACGCGGCTCTGATTACAAAATTTCATTACCGCCAATATCATACTATCGCCAAAATGCCTCCAGTAAGTTGCCATGCGTCCATCCATCCATTGCTCTCCACGCAACCCTTTCTAGACGGCAATGTGTTAACCATCCCTCTCCAACAGCGCCACCAAACCCTCCCACCGGCTCAAACGTCCTCCGCACGTGAAGCTCTCCAATCCTTTTACTGCCAATTATGCCAAAAAGGCTACAGCCGCATGAACGACTACGAAGCCCATCTCTCCTCGTACGACCACAGCCACAAGCAGCGTCTTAAAGATATGAAGCAGATGGTGCGGGACCCCCAAGCTGCCGCACGCGCTAGGAGACAAGAGCAAAAGAATGAGGGCGTCATCTCCATCAAGCTTGGAGAAGGTGCGGCTGGTGGTACTGCTGCTCCTGGGGGTGGTGGGTTCAAGAAGGGCGGGTTCAAGAAATCGGGGTTCAAGAGCGCTTTTGTTCCTGTTGGAGAACCTAAGACAGCTGCGGCACCGGCGGCACCGGCTCGAGCAACTAAGGATGATACAGCGGCGGAGATTGAGAGGGCACCGAGAAGCGAACTGGTTGAGAGCGACACCGAAGACGAGGGATACGAGGTTTACGATCCTAGGAAACCGACTGACTGAACGGGGAGTTCATAGGAGGATATCAATCGCGGAAGAAGGAACAAAGAGGGAACGCAACGATCTTGTCTCAATTTCAGCAAGCACTGAGCAAGCAAGCTACCTAATTACCACAGGATTGCGAGTACGACGAACAGCATCAAAAACAACATATCGGCAGGAAGTATCGACATGTCATTGGAAACGAAGTCTAACAGCATTGAACGCCATATTCGCTATCACAGAAGGAACGAATTGTTGCGCCATCCACCGATCGAGTCGAATCTGCCGAAAATACCGCCAAACTCCAGCGCGCAAAAACAAGAGCAGAGAGTCCCCCAAGATCAAGAAGGACGGATGGAAATGGGAAGCCGAAATAATTTTACAAGGCGCAACACCTCTATCGCCAACCGATTTTCAACTCAAGGACCCCCAGTCATGGTCGACCAGATCCTCGGCTCGAATCCCGACAAGTCTTCCTCCACCAAGTTCATGATATGCCGATGGCCGGAAAACCAGTTACCGAGCTGCGCTGTTTGCGTCGCATCGATAAGGCCAGCGGGCATATCTGCACCAAAGACACTAGGTGTGACCGCGGCCGCAGCGCCTGGTGCCGCCATGCCGCCGTGTTGGTGTTGTCGCTGCTGATGGGCAGGGTTGCCAGTCGAGTTTGCATGCTGTTGCTGTTGCTGCTGTTGATCATGGAGGAGTTGCTGAGGCATGAACCCGAGCTGACTGAGATACATGTCGAAATCATGACCGACCAGCATCATGTCCTGGTCCTGTTGCTGCTGCGCCTTGGTCTCGACGTACAGGCGTGCGACGTGGCAGAGGACCTGACAGACGCGATTGAACTTGTCGATAGCCTCGGAGATGCTGCACACGGTGGAGAGAGAGGCGACGAAGTGATCCATGCGGTCCAGGTCCTGCATGTTGGATGTCTCGATGACATGGCAGAAGAGGACGATAAAGGGGATGAATGGAGCGTAGAGGATCGTCCTGTTGTGTTGGTGTTTGTTAGCGCTGGGACCTCTCAGATATCAACTCACATGGGCGTGCGTACACAGTACTTACCAGTGAAGATACCCAACTTTCGTGAAATGGCTCAACACAGGAATCTGCATGCATTCCAAATGAACCTCGACCGCCCTTCGCGCCGCTTCGATACACTCCGGGTTAAAGGTGCTACCAAACCCCGGAGCGGCCGGAATCGCGCGGTATATCAGACACAGCGACGCCCAGTACGTGACCTCATCCGACCGCAGCATCAGCGTCACCGTGAACCCGTCCCTCTTCCCAGAATCAGCCAGCTTGCCCGTCTCGCGGGCATGGCGGATCAGCTCGTCGTTTTCCCTCGCTATCCCTTTAATGGCCTCGACCAGCTGGCGTGCGCTCTCGATGCGCTGCTCGGGCGGTCGCGACAGGGCCGCGATGGAGTATAGCTGCTCGTAAGCTTTGCCCATGACCTCGGCGTGTTCGATCCACAGGTTGAGCATCTCCTTCCAGCAGTCGGCGACGTTAATGGTCCGGCCCATGCGTTTCGGGATGGCGATGTCGTAGTCTTGGATCATGGACGAGCGGCCGAAGCGGAGGGAGAGGCCCTTGTCTAGCATGTAGGCGAACCAGAAGAGTGCGGACTTGGTGTCGTTGGAGACGTCGTCGTTGGCGGAGCCGGCACCCGAGGTCGAGGTGGCGGGGAGGCGGTGGTAGCCGAGGGTCTGGCATATCATTACTGCTGAGGAGTTAAGTTGCCAGGCGAGGGTGAAGCGGGAGGCTTCAACGGCGTAGGAAGCCTGTGTCGGATGGGTTAGCAACCCCGTGTCATGTCATGAACATTAGTGATAAGAAAACTTACAGCCAACAACAATGCTTCGATACTCTCTTTCCTCGCCGGCATGAACAGAGGCAATGCCATCAGGGCCGTCTCGAGATTGTCTCGACACAGGTTACGGTACTCGAGCAGCTTTTCGGCTTGATGAGCGTCGTCCGCCCTTGTGGCCTTCTCCTGGAA